TCCTCTGCCAGCTGAGTGTGAATTCCYACAACCATGTCAGAGTACAGGAACTGTATCAAAATCCATGTTGAGGATGATTAAAATAATTTAGGAACTGATGAGATCTGATAATCCTTTAAAACAAAGAATAGGAGAACGAGTTGATTTGTGTCCCATTTCTGTGCCTGAGTGTCTTTTCCACAGATGCAGCAGTTGCCCTGAATCCAAGGTGCATTAGTGTGTTTACCCTCAGTTAATCCCTCCCTTGTACACCCTGCATCCTGTTTGGCAGATGTCAAAAGGGCTGCACCCTCAGCCCCCTCAAAACTGGGTTCTTACAAGAAATGACAACTCACCTACAGYGTATTTATTGTGCAATGAGGGTCTTGCCCCTTGTTTTTCCCTCTGTTCCAGCTCCTGTCCTTGTCACGTTGTTTAGTTTCCGGTGGAATCCAAAAATTTCTACCAGCACTTTAATTTACTGCATTGTTGGGGAAGGCTGAGTCTTACACTGTTTTAATCAATAAAATATAGATTGGCCTGGAGCAAGGAAAATATTTGGTAAAGGTGGTGATTTTTTCTTTCTTTTTTTTTTTTTTTTATTTTAAATTGGGCATTTCCTTCCTTATTTATGCATAACTGCCATATTTTAAAGCAGAGCTTACCCTTATTCCATATGTTCAGCTGAACTTGGATTGACCTCAGCAACTGCTCCGTGCAAAGGTCACCAAGGGTGGAAAACTCCTGTATTAACTCAGAGTCTGGTGGTGTATTTTATCACTCTGGTGGTTATATCTCCTCTGGTTGTGTGTGTTCACAATTCAAAATAGAGATTCAATTTGTCTCTGATTTTTTAATAGGTGCTGAAGGAGTGTTTGCCGTTTTTATTTGGCCACCTGAGAGACCCCAAYCACAGTGAGGTGATTCTAAACATCCTTCTGGAAATATCCAGCTACGAACCAGCAGCCCTGGCACCTTTCCTTCCAACTCTGAGGGAAATCGGGGAGAGTTTTCCCACTTTGATTGGGCAAACAGCAAAGATCTTCGGAGCTGTTGGACACCTCGATGAGGTAAGGTGGGAACAAAAGGGCTGGGTTGGTTTTGGGGTTGGGTTGGTTGGGGTTGCTTTTAATCCTGTGTGAAGTCATACATCCACGTGTTTCTGTCTTCACAAGTGACCAATCTGCCCTGCCATGGAATCTCGGGATGGTTTGGGTTGGGAGGGACCTTAAGGACCMCCCTATTCCAGTCCTTCCYCCTYTGGMATTTAATTTGGGTGTGCATTGGCTGGGCCTGGGGTGCCTGAGTGCAGTGGATGCAGCACAGGAAGACACCATCCTTGCTGTTTCTACTGATCTGGAGCTTTGTATTCATCTAAAATTAAATTTATCACGCAAGAATCAAAACCAGATTTGGTTTGGCTTTGTAWATCTTATTTCTGTTGTGTGGGAAGAGGAGCCAAAATCCCATTGAGGCCTAGAGCCAAATGGAGTTTGTTGTTCTCTCCTTGTTTACTTCCATCCCACAGCAAGTTTTACTTTTATAAGATCTGCAGGTGACCACATTTAATTCTGCATTTAGCATCTGAGAGTCAGCATTTTCTACAAACTTTACAGTTCCTAAGCAKCTGCTCCTCAGCTGAGCCCAGCTGTGCTCAGAGCTGAAGGATTTCATTTGGAGTCTGTGTTTTGGGGTGCTGAACCAGCTCCCCCCACCTGGSTGTCTCTGAGGCTCCATTTCTGCTGAGTTCTGCTACTTCAAAGGGGCTGAATTTATTTATTTTGCCTTTTGTGCTGTGATTGTTTTATGCCAATGCCAAGAAGAACTGAGCAACCAACTGGCCCTGTTCTGTTTCACGGAGTGCTGAACATTACAGGCTGCCCAAAGTTTGCAAAGACACAACTCAAAGCATATTTTCTCCTCAAAGAACATTTTTAACCTGTTGGTTTATGAGGACACACCAAGCTACTGAGGGGAACACACACAGCCTGCAGGGAATAATTCATCCCCAATCTCCTGGAGTGAGTGTGGAGTTGCTGGCACCATGTCCTGTGTCACGAGTCTGATTTTTGGGGAAGCTGCTGACTCAGCAGCGTGCCAGCCCCCGGGGAGGACACATTTGTCATTTATTTGTCACTGACATCCCGAGGACCCTGCGCTCCAGACTCAAACACAGAGTAACAGCAACAYGCAAAGGGTGGCTGAGGTCAAGGTTCCGACAGGAGATCGATGGCTCCTTTCTTGTTTTGCTCTCTAAAGAGTTAGAAAGTGGGAATAATTCTGAYTYATGGRARATSTTGAAATGCCAGAGKGGTTTGGGTTGGAAAGGACCTTAAAGCTCATCCCATTCCACCCCTGCCATGGCAGGGACACTTTCCACAGTCCCAGGGTGCTCCAAGCCCYRTCCAGCCTGGCCTTGAGGAGAGAATCATCTCATGTAAAAGAGAGAGCAACACCTCCACGGCCAATTCCTGAGCAGAGAGGAGATCATGGAATSATAAAATCTCCCAGGCTGGAAAACACCTCCAAGAGCATGGAGTGCAGCCCTGAACCCACGTGTGCTGCTGATGGTCTCACCCCACAGCCCCCGTGCTCAGACACCCCAAACCCCCTCATCCCCTGTCCCCCTCTCCATCCCAGAGCCGTGGATGTTCTGCCCCTTCTCAGATGGGAATCCTTGGTTTGTGTGCCCAGCCAAACCAAACACCTGGGGAAGGAGACATCAATGGCACTGCTGCCCGTTTGTTTGTTGATGTTTCATTTCACTGCAAGCTTTGCCGGGGGAAAAGAGGTGGCAGAGATTGAGGCTTGGCCCTCGACAGATCTGAGCAGCAAATCCTCGCTGGCTCCCAGAGAAAGCCTCCTGTGCTTCCACAGSCCCCAGGAGAGAGGAAAGCTTTGGGTTTGAAAGGTTGCTCCTTGTTTACACACACCACTTGTGCTGGTGTCAGCGGCACTCTCGGGGGGGAAGCTGAAATCAGAACTTGTCCCTCGCCCATAAACTTTGCAAAGCWAAACCACCATCCTGGGGCTCGGGGCAATCAGCACTTGGATTTATTCTTTTCCCTATGCTTTGAACCAGCTGGGAATTGGAGTTATTTCTGAGAGCCTTGTGATCTTTTTGTAGCCTCCTGAACCTGTTTTTTTTTTTTAGAAAAAAAAGCACAACACTTTGCCACACCTCGTTTCTTGTGCTTTAGCTCTTCACCTTCTGGCAGAAGTAAAGCCATAAAATGCTGGGGCTGCTTATGAGAAAATACATGAATCCATCAAATAGGCATTGCTGAAATAACAAGGGCTGTGTGCATCCAAACAGGCTTTCTGAACCATTTTGGACGAGGATTGTGGCAGGGATAACGGCTGCTTTCATGTCGAGCTATTTTGCTGTAATTTTGTTTTGTATAACAGTTACATATTATATTACTCCTGCGAGTTTATTGTTCTTTTACCTCACTCCAGGCGAGTAGCAGCATTTCAGCATGGCTGGAGACTCTCCAGCTGGATCAAAGTGACAGGAAAACGGTCAAAACTGCTCCTCCATTTAGTCTGCCGAACAGTTTGTTTAGAAAACAAAAATGTGTTTTAAATGTTAATTGAGCCTGTGTTTATCTCTTGGAGGAAGGATCGGCTTTCAAATAAATGAGTGACTGTGCACCAAAAAGTCGACCTGGTTGAAGCCATTGAGGAAAAGCTGCTCTGTCACCAGTGCAGGGTGCAGCTGGAGCTGTCCCCATATGGCTGCAGGGTCTGATCCCTGTTCCCGTTCAGCCCTGGCACGCTGCAGCAGAGCTGCTTTTCCTTCCATGGAATTGCTCTGCAGAGAAAGCCTCTCTCGTGGTGCTGGGGCACGGCCTGCCCCAGTGCCCAGGTGTTTTTATGGCCCTGGTGCATTTGGGATCCAGCTTGCAGCAGGTTTTGCTCTCTGGTTATGAGGTCCCAGGGGAGAGGAGGGAATAGGGCTGGGACTGTGCAGGTCTGGAGCACTGCACAGCACATGGGTCCCTCTGATCCTCGGGGAGAGGGAAACTGCTGGGTTTGCCTTTGTTGGTGTTTCTGGAACCAAAGCATCCCCCAGTTTCTGTGTCAATCTGCTGAGGACTGAGAGAGTCCCTGAATGGAGCCAAACCCGGCTACCCCAGGGCAGGAGTGATGAGAGGTCCTCACTTACCTGCTGTGGTTTCCACTGCTTTTCCCATTTGGGTTTTTTAGGACTGTGGAACCCAATCTGATCAGAACAACTGTGCCACAGGAACCCTAAAGTGGAGATGTTCAAACCCAGGCTGATTTCTCCCCATTCCTGGAGGTGYTGGTGGGGCTGGGAGCAGCCTGGTCTGTGGAAGGTGTCCCTGCCCAGGGCAGGGGTGGCACTGGGGACTGTTCAAGTCCCTTCCAAACCATTGAAGTAGCTGAGCCCTACTCATCTCAGGTGAAAGAGGAGATTGGTGCTGCTGGTGGCCAGCCCAGAACAATGTAGGGCCCCTAGAGACCCTTCAGGGACCTGGCTCTGGGTCTGAGAGGGGACAAGGAGTCCTGAGTCAGGCTGGCTTAGGGAATACCAGGAGGAGCCAAAGTCACTTTAGTGATTAACCACAAACAAACTGCTGGGGCTGCCTCTGTGACCACCCTGGGACAGGGACAGGGACAGGGAGCCCTCCCAGCTCACAAACCCCCTCCCAGCAGCAATGARTCAATCAGAGCTGTTGTCTCCTCCCGCTGCAGGAGCGAGCCAGGACGTCTCTGCTGTACCTGGTGAGCCAGCTGGCCAACATGGAGCACTCCTTCCACCACGTGCTGCTGCTGGAGATCAAGAGCCTGACYGACAGCTTCCCCTGCATCCTGGGCACGCAGAGCAGGGACATTTA